TTCGATCATCGAATTTTTATTTATTACAATCTAAAAATTACAAACGAAGTGGTACAATAATTATGGAAGTCACTGTAATTGGATTACGTACCAATCAAATGCATTGCTCATAGTAACTGTAAATTTTAACTTTGAAATTATGTATGATAATATTTTTAAAACAAAATTTTCTTTATCAATAAATAATAATAACTTGTTATCGGTTGTGATTAATTTTGTTGGGTGATTGATGGCGTATTTTGGCTTATGTAATTAGTGATGTTTCATTTCACCAGAACAACTACATTTTAACTTGAGAATTTAAAGGACATCAAAAGAATTTGTTTTTGTTAAGGCAAAAAAAGAACGAGTCCATTAGTCGTTAAGGTTTTATTAATTTTTGAAATAGATTTCCTAATATATTGGGTGCATTTTTGGCGTATGAACGATTAATTTTAACCGGTTTTTTGAACGAACCGGTTCGAAACCGGTCAAGCCGCTTGGAACCGAACGATAGAACCGTCCCATCACAGTTAGAATTAGTTTAGGGCTAGTTAGGTAGTTAGGGTTTGATGTTAGCATATTATTGGTCAATGTCACATGTCCGAGGATTTTTGATGGGTGTCTGGACGTTTGTGACATTTATAATTGTGACAATTAACATTTTTCATACAAAAAAATCCCCGGAAAGAAAATAGTATCCTCTTTCTGGATGAATGTGAAAGATGATTGCGAGCTTTTCTCAGAGAATATACTTGGACGAACGGCTGGGGATGTGAAGTGATTTGACAAATTTGCTACCCCTTATCTACTTCTAATTCTACCCTAATCCTAATCCTAATATTAATCCAAACCCTAACTCTAATACTAATACTAACCCTAATAATAAATACCCGGCAAAATAAAATCCGGCTACCATTTTTTTACGGGCGATCGCCTGATTACATAACGTGAGAAATTCACAAGATTTACGACGCCTAAACTCATACCATGACAAATTAAGTAATCGAGTTCCACTTTCGGAGATAAATAAAAAACAATATAAATTAGATTTAAAAAAATATCATGAGCGATTAACCATCCAAAACTTTCGACCTAATAAAAACCAAAACTAAACATCAATTAAAAATGACTTTATTAACGTCGTCAATCATTGTTTCGATTAATGAACTTTTCAAGTTCATCCTCTTAATCTTAACTCTTTACACCGCTCGTTTCTATTTTCGTTATTTTACACGAAAAAATAAAGTCCCGGGACCACTTCCGTTCCCCTTCTTTGGTACTATGCCTTACTCTTACATTGTAGGTCAATATAGATTTCTTAACTATTGTTATGAAAAATATGGAACATTATTTGAGATATACGTTGGAGACGATCTGAATACCAATCGAGAAATTTATATATGTAAACCAGAGTTGCTTGAAAAAATCTTCTCTAGCTCCACAAAAAGTAATTTTTTATTACGAAGACCAAATAATGAAGGAATGAACGAATTTGGATTTGGTAAAAGTGGTATGGTTGTGAACAGTGATTTAAGTAGTTGGAGAAGGAACAGAATGTTATCCGTACCCTTGCTCATGAATGCAGGATTTTTAAAAACTCAAGTGCATGTAATACAAGAATTGTTTCAGGAAATGGAAAATTATTGGAAATTGTTACATGATAAGAATGATGAGAAGATCATTTTGGATTTTACTAGTTGGATGCATAGGTTTGCCTTGGATGTGGTTATTACTTCGTCATTGGGTAGATCTTCTTACGCGTTAAAATCTTTTTATAACACTTTTACCCAAAGTGATGGTACGATCGAAAAGAACGAAAATACAAGTTCCATCGAATATGATTCAAGTGATCTACTTATTCGGCAGGTCAAATCATTCTTCAAAGCGTTGCTATTCGTTAAACATCCGTCTTGGTTACGTCACACATTCCTCATTTACTACAATAATTTTTATTTGAACGAAATAAAGTCGTTAAACAATATTATAGAGAATTTTATTAAATTACGTCGCGAAGAAATTCTGTTGGAAATAAAAAATGGAAAAAATGTTCAAGAGGATAGGCGAGATATAATGTCTTTATTTCTATTGAAGTATTCGACGATAACTGATGAAGTGATTAGATCGAACTTGATTGAAATCTTTATTGGTGGAAATGAGACGGTACGCAATTATATGCAAGCAAGCTTATTATTAAAAAAGAAAAAAAAATTTTATAAGTGCGCGTATGTTGACAGACTTTTAATTTTTTTTTATTCGTAGGTTTCAAGTTCAATTGGTTTCATTATGTATTATTTGTGTAAGTACCCCCATGTAAAAAATCAGCTAATTGATGAAATCGACGTGATTCTCTCGTCAAACATCCTTCGTGAAATCACTTTTGAAGATATTGAAAAATTCGAATACGCTGAGGCCTTAATTAAAGAAGTGACTAGATTGACGCCGATATCGCCTTTAATTGCCCGTAGTAATGTGGTAGAAGACGAATTAGGCGAATATACATTTGAAGCAGGCACAAAATTTTATGCTTTTATGATTCAAATTTATAAGAATCCTGAATATTTTACGAATCCTGAAGAATTTAATCCAGACCGCTTTTTGAAAGGGTCTGAAAAAATTTCCCGTTTTAACACTCTTTTACAATTTGGTTCTGGATTGCGTATGTGCCCAGGTAGACAAAGCGCCATGACTGTCATAAAAACATTTTTGATGTGTTTTTTTAGAAAGTATGATGTTGAATTTGCGGACGAAAACCAAGAATTAAAAATATCGTTTGATGTTTCATTTCATTGTGGAGAATATAAAATTGCTATTAAAAAGAGATAGCTAGTATATGTGACATTTGTTTTAAATGTATTATTCATTTATATCAATAAATAAGATGTTTTTTCTTCGATTTTAATTTACCTAGTCTACATCTAATAAAAGATCTTGAGGCCTTAAAAGTTTACTAATATATCTTCTTGGAAGGTTCGATTAGAAGAGAATTGTTATTTATGAATCTTACTTAACGTGTGTCATGTTAAGCGTTGTTTTCAGAAATTGCTCATTATAAAAGTTTGCTTTTTGCAGAACTTTTGGATACAGTATATTATTCGATCAAAAAACATT